ACGGATAGTTGAAGGAGTTTTTTTTAAAAGCACGAAAACATCCCACTTGAGTCTTTTCTTCTTCTTCGAAAAAAAAAGCCAAGCTGAGAAACAAAACAAAAATAATATACAGACTTAAAAATTGGCTGTTGTCCAACCTGTGGATCAGAGGACATTTATATGGAACTTAAGCTTTGCTCGTGCATTTTAAGAAGTTTTCCGATCCCCTTCGATTAAATGGTGGCCTTGTTACATAGCCCCAGGTAGATATCATCTTATACCACAGCCTTATTATAAGCACACAATATACTGAGGCCTCCTATTGTAAAACACATTCAACCGGTCCCCTACTTTCCCTGCTGTTTGTCGATCGACCGATTTTAATTGATTTTTCACTCTCAAAGTAATCTATTTATGTGGATCAAAAGCAGGATATGACATTATTCTGACAAGTCTCCGAAGTCTAAGCTTAAAGCTGCTAGTGCAGACCTCAACAATCCGAGCAAGTGTCCTCTCCACAAGCCTATTAACTTTCACTAATTCTTAAGCAGACGCTCAGACTCCAACTGAGGTCATTTTCAGTAACCTAGCATAATAACATCTGATGCCTTGGGCCACCACGTCTACAGATAGTTTTCATTGGAAATATGTAGCCGACATGCAAACACTAGGCGTGAACAGAGTCGTTACCAAAGGCTTTCTACAACTTCAGTATCTTAACCCTTAGTCTACTCGGCTGTGTTTTACTGCATCGAACACTAACCTCAGTGCAAACTGAACTCTGCTACATTCAGTTCCCTTCATTCTGCGACTACCACCGCAAGCATTCACATGCAGGGTGAGTAAGGGCACCAGAGCATTGTGGATTTCCTTGCAAATGTTTGCCTACAAAGGCACAGTCACTACACTTTACAGTAAAAATCCTGTGAGACTTTTCAACTGCTGTATAAAATACAAAGATTATAATCATAAATATAACTTAGGGAGAAACTGCTTGTACAAATACACAATAATTCTTTTTATTGCTCCATACTCTCTGTATTGCCCTTCTGAAGCTAGTGATCCATGTTGGGAGACAGTCCCACAGGTATGGGTCCTGTGATATCTACCGCAGCCTGGATCGTGAGTGTTAGCCTAATAACTATATGGTACATCATAGCAAAGCCCAGTCCTTACGCAACATCCACACACACACATACTTTCCAGTAGGAATGTCCGGATAGCGCTTAGGAATGTGAACCCAAGCTAATTATTTTCCCCCCTTCCTGTCCTGGGGCCACATAAACATTTTTACTTTTGAATTTGTCATTTGAGGACGGCATCGGATTGAGTTGTGATGCCTTCAACCATTGTTTAAACACTCACCGGTACTACCTAGGCTCACCCCCATATGTACACGCACACATACTCAGATCTTTGTTCGATGAATAATCAAACCAAGAACTCAAACCCCTTCCCGTGTGTGGGAACACACCAAGGACGAAATAAGACTAGGTGGAAATTGGCTGCTCCCAGCATCCAGGTGAGACTGATCAAATAAGTGTTAACGTTTAGACAGATTAAAATCAAAGTACACGGCCTTCCACATCATTTCTCTTCCCTGAACTTTGGTGATTCAAATCAAAACTCACTGTCAAGCTCATTAACTCTATCTCATTCATTCTCAGGACCTCAAGATTGCCAACCTCCTCAGTGATGACTGCACTCTGGGCTTCGCCCCTCCTTCCCCACATTTCCATAGATGGATGGTTGTGGCCAGGACACTGGACTCATTTAAGATTGATGCTGTGACGAGGATTCTGGAAGGATGAGACTAAATGGTGTGATGAAACGTCCTCTCAAGGCAATGACAATAACAACAAAAACAACTTTCATTTATATAACGTCCCTCGTGTAGGGTAGCGTCCCAGAGCACTTATGATGTAAATGACAGAGAATATAAAAATGCAATCTGTTGTTTGTTGTTGTTCACTAGTGTACCTCTTGATCTCGTGAACAGAAAGCCGTTTTCACTTAATGTGAAGTGAGGGAGAGGTCTCATCGTCTTCACTCTTTTTATAGTGATATAGGAGTGGAATTTTAGTGATTTTTACAGTAGATGTCTAGATTGTGATTTAAATCCCATTAAACTGTCTTTTCTCCATATCCCTTAATACTTCAACTATAGACTGCCACTTTCAAGTACCTCAGTTGATACTGCGCTTATGACCTCTGGACCACTTCCCATTGTCAGCACCTTCTACATAACGAGGACTGAGAGCTTGAGGAGCTCTATAGGCTTGATGTTTGGGGTAGGGATGTGTTGGAGCCAGAGATGCTGCAATTTATTTCAATTCTCACATGGTGAGGACAAGGGGAGGGGGGAAGAGTGTGCGTGTGTGTGTGTGGTGTGACCAGGTCAATCTGTGGCACATAAAAGCAAGCTGAACATGGAAGAGACTCTACTGACATCAATACAGTCATTGATGGCCCTTGAGCCTAGAAATTCCCAGACAATTAAACTCGTCTGCTGCATCAAAAGGTTCAAGTGAACCAGTTTAACAGTTAACCTTAATATTCTTTCAGGCATTCTTTGTTTCCATAAATTTGTTGAATATTTTGGAAGATTCTAATGAAGTGGCTGTGAAGAACCGCCAAGGTTTATAATTAACATGCACACAATTAACATAATACTGTACTGTGTATTTGCTGAAACAGATTTGAGTTATCAACAGCATCTGATGACGTTAGTTCAGAATCTTCTTCCAGCAAATTCCACCAATTGTGTTACCAATTATGGTAAAACACATATATTTTAAAAACTTATAATCTGACTCTCTCTACTCCATAGCCGAGCTCCCCACAGAGTTATAATACACCAAGAAGGTTCACCATTTAGTCCTTGGTTAATGGTATGGACTATAATTTGGCTTTATGTCCCTCACTGGGCTATAGAATGGAAAAACTCATCCACTTAGTTTAGTGATGATCTCTTGTTTTAAGGCATCATAAGATCCCCTTGGCTCTCACCAGTTAATAGCAAACATTTCAGATAACAGGCTCTCCTGTTTGTCATTCGGTAATCTAGCTAAACATAACCCACGGCTTTTATCAAGCACAATTCCAACTCAAGCTATTAAGCATCAAAGCCGGCTATGTGCGCTCATTGATAATTGATGATTTTTTTGCTGCTGGAGGTTAGCAATGTGATTTGTACGTCCTGTCCTGTAAAGTAATTACAATGAACACAAGGAATTTACTGGAGCAGTGAAGGTATTATTGCAGCTTTCCTCCAAACCATTAACAATTCAGGTATTCTGCTGCTCAGATAATGGTGGCTTTCTGTAGCTAAACAGCTTCTTGACATCATCTATTTTTGACAGAGTTATACTTTTTATCAGTATTCTGAGTCCTTTATATTAATACTAATTACTTTATATTAATACATTTGGAAAAGCGTCTTTCATGTTGGGAAATACTTCATAAGATTTTATTGTGAAGGGGTGTGACTGTATTTGTTGGCAAACCAGAAGCAAGGAGTTGCACAGTGGTCATTGGTCGTTGAACCTCCTCTCAAAGGATGACACAAGGTGAAATAGACCGGCAAAGGCAAAGTTAAAAGAGGGAAAGGCTAAGAAAGGTTATTTGGTGGTTCCTTAATCTGACCAACTTTAGAAGAAACTCCTTATGACTTTGCCACTGAAGTGTCAATTGTTTCCAAATTGATTGTGACCCTTTAGAAGATAGCAAATGATCATGGAGCGTAAAGTCAATACTCATTGATGGGTTCCAACACCCATTGATCTTCTGCAACCCCCACCTCAGAGACAAAATGGACCGTCTTGTTTGTGGAAATTGCCAATTAGGAGCAGATTTAGTTCCACTCGAGAGCTTGATCTTGTTGGTGTTGTTGTTGATCTTGACCAAGCTTGACCTTTTGAAAGCAATGTGGACATCTAGTCCTTACGGTTATCTCTTAAAATTGGAGAGTTTAAAGAATTTTCTCTCATCTTTTTAGGGAGTTGTCAACTGGAAAGAACATAATAATTCTTAGGAAATCTGTTCCGATTCTCAGTTTGATTTACTCACTTTCACAACAATATCCTTGTTGCCTTCTCTTTCAGAACCTATTTTATGTTTCGCCCGCAAACTACACAGTCAATTCACTTTACAGTATATTCTGTAAAGCGCTTTGAGACTCTCGAAGAAATATATAATAATAATAATAATCCTTGCATTTGATATAGCGCTGTTCACGTCTTCTCGACATCTCAAAGCGCTTCACAGAATAGACTGTAAAGTGGATTGACCGTACAGTTGTGGGCGAAACGCGGCAGCCAATTGCGTACAGCAGTGTCCCACAAACAGTCATGGATTGAAAATGACCAATATATTATTGTTTTGTTTTGGAGGGATTATTATTATTATTATTATTATTATACCATCCGTTTCAATGGCTTCTTTGGTAATTTATTTCACACACAGAACAGGAAGAGACTGTTTAGCCCATTGAGCCTATTACATCAGTTTTAGATTTACCTGTACATAGATTTAATAGATTAGACACTGTAGCATTGATAAATTAATCTCCACAGTAGCATTGATAAATTAAAGGCAAAAGTTGTGATACAGGGAGAGGTCAGAGAAAGATTACTCATTAGCCTTTTCTTACATATCTGTTCAGGAACAGAAGATGCTATAAAGCTCCATGGCTCATTAGGTTCCCTTCCAGGTGAACCGGATACATGAGTGGAAAGTGTTAAGATAAAAGAAGAACGTACGTAAATGTAGAACAGAAAGAAATGGACGGCGATTGAAAGCAAATAAATAATAGCTGTGTTGCGGCTACATATGTGTCCTTTGCACAAAAATCATATAATGTCTTCAGAAACACAGATCCTGTAGTGTTAAATCATGATGGAAACGGATTTTGTGAAACGCGCCGGAGTCTTTATGGTAAAAGTTTTACAATGTTATTTATAGTAAGATCAATGTATAATACATAAAAGCCCAACACATGGTTTCTGCTTTGATCTCCACTTAAACAGACAAGCCTTTGCCATAGGAATTTCTCTTCTGTTGCTCCTCCACACTAACGCTGGGGTCCTCCCAAACAAAGTGTTCCACTCCGGATAGGATACCATCTAGAGAAAATAAATGTGACATTTCATGAGGCAATTTTTCTTTGATTCCATGTGTTTACCTTCCACACATCTTGACCTTTCCTTCGTAATGCGATAGAGATTCATGGGGACTGTCATTCTGCATTGGTTGAGTCATTTGTGAGTTATATCATATCTTTTACAGTGGGGTAAAGTCGAGCTCCAACTGTAAAGGACAAATCCTGTAAAACAGTCACAAAGGGCCGTCTCTATAACCTTCAAAACTCGTTCAAAATTTGCTTATTGTTGGTCACCCAACCTCTGCAAAAAATACATTTATGTAATGTTCTAAAGTTAGACATAGCAGCCCAAAGCCCTTGAGCTTTCTTGACCCATGAAATGTTCTTGTTCATCAAAGAACATCTTAACCATCAGACCCTTTTTAAAACAAGTCACAAAGAACGATGACTGACACTAACTATTAGTCGTTTAGTTTCCCCCATTCACTCTTTTTGTGCAAAATGATTAGTAAAATATTTGAACAGTGATTGCTGTAGGCTTGGAGGAGTTAACAAGTCCAACAATCTGAGGAAGTGGAATTATCATCAGTAAAGACACAGTCACAAAATTAGCATCCAAAGTGAATGTTAGTCTGGTTCACTGACTCATCCAAGCCACGCTGTTAAAAAAAATATATAAAATATAACCTGACTGATAGAACAAAATGTCATGAATTGGCAAGTTACTTATAATTCTGAGAAACTTTCATTCTTAGAAAAGGTAACAATACTAAAGTGCCTTTGTAAGAGGGGCTCCAGTGATGAAGGCTTGTTTTATACAGCTGTCTCCAAAAGTGGCCCTAACAATAGCACTCTCTCGCTCTCTTCCTCTGTCTCTCTCTTCCAAGGGTTCCTGATGATGGCAACAACCCCCTCATGTATTCTAAAAGAGGTAGTCCAAGGAGATAGACGTGTGTCCAATATTATCAATACAGTACAATACTGTACAAGACAGTACTAATTTACATATATATGGTGCCTTTCACGTCAGGAGGATATCTCAGTTGGCAGTCTTGACTTGGTACCTGAGCTGGGGGTGGGAGTCAAGGGAGATAGTCAGTAGGGTAGGATTATACAAATTGCACACCTCTATATTTTAATGTACTGTATATCTGGAAATAGGTAAACAGGATGCATCCTTGGAGTGCGCATTCCACTCCAACAATCTATCTCTGGGATTTCTATGTGAGGTGGGATGCATGGAATTCTCAGTTTGGTTTGGACATTCTTAACACCAAAGCAAGATCACAATTTAATCACTAGCTCTCATGTACAAAACGTGTGAATGACACCACAAAATGCATCTGATTGTGATCTAGCAACACAATGTCACCATTGACAGACTGATGATCTGAAGCCTTGTTTGCAACATGCTTAGTTTGGGAATGAATTCCAAAGGGATTCAAAGTTAAGAGATAATCTTCCAACAGAAACCTGAGAGTACCAGGAGCAAGAGGGATTAGCGTCTACCTGAATACCAACATTGAGCACGCATTGGAGATTATGGTTGTCGACAACAATAAGAGAATGCAGCAAATGTAATTTTCCCATTGATCGATGATCAAGTCTAAGGAAATGGCAATGGGATGGCAAAGTTGCAAAGGAAGGAGATTTCCACTTATAATAATAATAATAATCCTTGCATTTGCTATAAAGCGCCTTATCACGTTGTTGAGACGTCTCAAAGCACTTCACAGAATATACTGTAAAGTGGATTAACTGTATATCTTGTGGGCGAATTGTGGTAAACAGTTGCGTACGCAGTGTCCCACAAACAGTCGTGGATAGAGTGACCTTATTTTTAGGGACATTCCCTCAAGTAAGTGATTCGCCAATCGACTAACAACCAGTCGCCTACTTACTGCTAGGAAAAGAGAGGCGTGTGAAGGAAACTTGCCTAAGGTTTCGCCCCGCCTGGCAATCGAACCTGAATCCTCTCGCTTGCGAGGTGAGCGAGTTAACCACTACGCTACGGACTCCGCTGCTGGATTCCCCCATTTGAAACGAACAGTAGAAGGTCAGTAATGGTAGTGACCTGTGGAGCTCTCCCTCTACTCCCCTGCGGAGGTGAAGGTTGAAAAACAGTCTTTATTTCATTCCCAATAACTATCCACAAAAGGATTTGTTCTTCCTCTTTCTCTAAGCCATTTCTAATCAGAGAACATATCCCCAAGCCTGAGACCTTGACAGCTCTTCAAATCTACTTTTAAAAAAGTCTTAGCCAAACGTCCACTATCCTGTTGCTCCTTAAAGTATAATCCTGGGAACAGACAGACAACGTGATTGTCATTTGACACTAAGGTCAGGCCAGCAGGACAGTATTATTTCTATTCTTTTATGTGAGCTTGAAACCTGGGAATGTTTCGAAACCTGTGGAATCATGAGGTCAGTCAGATTTAGTATCACATTTCCTAATACCTCACATTGTTTTTATATTGGCTACAGCACACCTAGGTTTCTGTATTTTGGGTTGTCCGTCCATTCACTCGTTCCTGTCATGTTGAAACTGAACTATTTGGACTCAGAAGGTCGTAGGTTCAGTCCTATGAGTGCGTGAGTTAGATGCTCTCAGCTAGAATGACAGGAGGGGAACGACAATTGGCTTCAGTGCTCCAAGTTTAGTGAAGGAGAATCAGTCAGGATTAGCGTTTCTGATTGCTACTCAAAATCCTCTGTTGATAAGTACAGTGTATAGGTGTATTCGTCAGGTAAAGATAGGGTTAGTCTCAGCTTGATGCTTGACACCCCCCAAACAGTCAAAGAGTCTGCCAATCTCACGGTCTGGGTTTACCAGCCTAAGCACTCTACACCATCAGTCGTCAGAGAGCAGGGAACAACACTAAGGAAAGTGAAGACATAACACATCTGGAGAAATTGATCACTGGAGAGAGTGAAACACAACTCACTCCATGTGGTGACTGTTTTACCCCCACCCCCACCCACACACACACACACACACACCCACACACACATACGCACATTTCAGGCACTTGTAAAAAGGCAGCAAAACAAGGTTAGCATTCAGCGTTCGAATCAGCACTGACACCAATCAAAGTCCATCAATGACAACGTCGCACTGTAAACAAATAAGCAACAAATAGTTTCCCCCGGAGAAGCATCTTTTCCAGAATTCAGAAAAACCTTTGTGTTTGTTCGGGTCTCTCTCTCTCTCTCTCTCTCTCTCTCTGTCTCTCTCTCTGTGTCCTGGTAACTTGACCTGAGTGAGTTACACATTTTCTCCCTTTTCCGCTATAAGTCAATACAAGCAGCAAATTCTCCAACTCTCTAGACGCTGAAGGTTACTTGATGCATTTTATCGTTTGATTGGCACCTTTTACTTCAAGCAAATCAGGTTCAATAAGAGAAATTGTAAAGTGAGGGGCAGCATTTGCCCGGGGGCAGTAAAGGAGTTTCAAGTGTTGAGTGTGGACGTAAACATAGGATTGAAATACATATGGGAGGTCAAACCTGGCATGTGCTTATTTGCATAAACTAAGTGTCTCTCTCTCGGCTTGAATCTATTTTTATTCGTTTTTTTCAAACCCCAAGTTTGAAACAAACAAAAAGTCCCAAATAGAGAAGAAAAATAATGAAACTTATTTGTTTTATTTGTTTGTTTGTTTGCTTGTTAATCTCTGTTTCTTTGGTCTGGACTCAATCAACCCTTCTCAGTGAAAAAGCTATCAAGTCAATTCTGCCACTCTGTGTGGGTCCAGGGCAAAAGGAAGTGTGGGACGACTTGATAATCCTTCAGGTTCCATCCTGAATCGAATCAGATTAGCTGAAATCGTCTCGGGGGAAATCAGATGCTGACATTTTGCTCCCACTCTGTGCCCTTTCCCTCCTCCCCAAGAATGGGATTTATAGAGTTTAGCTGATCCTGGCCGGGCAGCAGTCCAGCCTCTACACTTGGTCTCAGTGCCAATTCTCTCCCCATCCCATCCCACCCCGCCTCGCCGACAGGGAGAAAAGAGACTAAATAAAATCAGTCAGGATTCCCGTCCCTGATTGTTCTCCGGTGATCCATTCCTGAAGGTGTGGTTTTGAGTGAGGACAGGACCTGACCTGCTGAACAATCTGTTCACAATCACTCACCAAATTGGAAATGGACTTCATATCCCTTTCTGCCTCAGGAGGAAAGGGACCCTTTTTGAATGCTAATGCACACTCCTTGCAGTAGCATATATACAGTAATGTCCATCTTCCCACGACTAAACCCCCTTAGTCTCCACTACTCTTGACTCCATCCCCCAGCTTGGATGCAAACCCTTCACTGTCCAGGGCTTTGGGACGTCCTCCCGACATGAAAGGCGATTATAAATGCAATTTACTGCTGCTGTTATATGTAGCAGTGGTACCCTCTGGGAATATGTCAGGCACCAGTCTCTCAGTCAACAAACAAAAACAGAAGTACACTCAGCAGGTCAAGCAGCATCTATGTAGAAAGGAAAGTGAGTCAACGTTTTGGGTCCATGACCCTTCGTCAGAACTGGGGCACATTGGGAGGGAGAGGCTTTTAAGGGCTAACAGAGAAGGGGATGAGGCAGGGCAAGGAAGACAAAGGAGATAATGGAGTAGAGTACAGAGCAAGATTGGTTAAAGAGGCGTTAATGATGCAAAAAGTAATAGTAAAGCAAATAGCGCAACCCGTTGTGAGGAAAAAGGGAGAGAGATAAGGTAGGGAATTGGTTGGGTTGTACAGGGGTGTCTGTCTGAGTTGTGTAGGGGGCGAGTCATTGTACGCTTTCAGCTAGTATAGGATTAGCATGAATACTGCCTCAAATTAAATTTAATTAAATTATAGCAAGGGAAGGGGTTCATGCCAATGGTCTGGGAATGGATTCAAGCCCAGGAGCCAAGTTGTAAGTCACGTCGATTGCTTCTATCTAACCTCATTTTAAAGACCTGGATTGTATCTTCCCCCTCAGTCATTTTCTAACAAGAAAGTGTTCAGTTCCGCAATCGTCTCCTGACAACTTACAG